CTAGGTAAGTCCTTAAATGGGACTTTACCAGTGTCCGGTCAGATTTGGAGCGGGTGGTCCTCCAAACACCTTCTAGGCATCTCTTCCGACGCTTCATCACCCTCAGCTCCTCGGAGAACCAAGGAGCCAAGGTAGTCCAGCATCGGGTGAGAGGCCGCAAAGGCACGACCCGGTCCAGGGCCCCCACGGCCGCACTATTCCAGGCGGCCACCAGGTCCTCAGTCGAGCTGCGGGTCAGGGTCTCAGGTATTGGCCCAAGCTCTGTCTGGAACCTCTCGGGGTCCATCAGGCGCCTGGGGCGGAACCATTTTGTCACTTCCGGTTCCGCCTCCCCGCAGTGGGGTGTAGCGGTTGGAAAGGCCAGCCAAAGGAGAGAGTGATCTGACCATGACAGGGGCTCAATGACTATTTCCCCTAAACCATGATCACTCAACCACTGGCCGGAGGCAAAAACTAAGTCCAGTGTGTGTCCTCCGGTGTGGGTGGGGTCACCAACTAATTGGGTCAGGTCCATGGCCGTCATGGAGGCCATGAACTCCCGAGCCACCTCAGATGTTTCACCTACCGATGGCAGATTGAAATCCCCCATGACTAACAGTCTGGGGGTCCCAATCGCCATCTCGGCTATCACACTAAGAAGCTTGGGTAGGGCTGCTGATACGTAGTGGGGAGCCAGGTACACAATCAGCACGCCCTGCTGCCTCCCATGACCCCACTTCACACCTAGGGACTCACAACCGGCAGTCTGCGGCACAGTGGTCTCTCTTGGGTCCAGGCCTTCCTTAATAATAACCACCCCCCCACCCTGACCCTGGGCTCTCAGCTGGTGAAATGCACGGTAACCTGGCGGGCACATTTCAATGAGGGGCACCCCCCCTCTTGGCCCAACCAGGTCTCCGTAATACCCGCCAGGTCTGCTTCCCCCTCCGAAACCGGATCATAAATGAGGGGGGCTTTATTAACCACGGACCTGGCATTACACAGCATCAGCCGGAAGCCCAGGCCCTGTGATCCCAAACCCCCTAGGTTGCAAGAGCCATGAGGGCCGGAGCGTGCCACAGCTCGTAAACAACGGGTGCACCCCGCCCTAATGTAATATGGCCCTCTGCTCCTGCCATATCTACCCTTCCCATACACAGTCTTGATGGAGTTGCCCTCTGTTAGGCAGACCCTCCCCCCTCCCCAATTCCAGGACCTACGCCCTCCTCGCCGAGGCCATCAGCCGGCCTGGGAGAATTCCCCGGTGGGTGATCACCCTCACCCACCACCCTAATTCTGGTTTGCCCACCCCTCTCCCTGGAACCCCTTAAAACCCGGACTAAAAACCTCACTAAAAATCCCCTTAAGTTACGTCTCGACCACCTCTCCTGATTCAAAAATCCCTCACAGAGGTGGGCCCTCGTTAACGCTGAGGGCCAAACCTGCGAGAGAGGGGACTCTCGCAGGGCATGGAGGTCAGCCGCTGAATACATTGCGGGCATGCGAGGTGGTAAACGACTACTCTTTTAACCCCTGCATAAGGGAGCCTTCCATCTCCATGTCCTCCGGTTCGCTGAGCTGCTGTTCGCCCGGCTTCTGCGGCGGCGGCGGCAGGGGCGGCCCAAAACCTGAATCTCCTGATTTCTCTGGCTCTTGACACTCTGGCTCTTCGGCAGCCTCTGGCTGTGAGTAATTCAACAGACAAGGATTGCCAAACGATAACCAGGGGCAGCAGTCCAATAAGCCAGGTTTAGCCAAACAGTAACTAGGGCCAGCAGTCCAATAAGCCAGGCTTAGCCAAACAGTAACCAGGGCCAGCAGTCCAATAAGCCAGGTTTAGCCAAACAGTATCCAGGGCCAGCAGTCCAATAAACCAGGTTTAGCCAAACAGTAACCAGGGCCAGCAGTCCAGTAAACCAGGATTAGCCAAACAGTAACCAGGGCCAGCAGACCAATAAGCCAAGTTTAGCCAAACAGTAACCAGAGGCAAAAGTGCATGCAGAATTAGAAAGGGCTAAGCTACCTCCTGAGTAGCAGCTTCTAAGCACTGTTAATGAAGTACGGCAGATGTTAGTTGTAGAATTCAAGGACAAGTTCTTTTCTTCCCCAGCAAGGGAAGCTCTCAAGCCGATGTGTGTGTGTATGTTTATCTTTATGCCTTGCAGTTCTTGCTCAATGTGAAGAAGAAAAGATGAAAGGCAACCACCATGAAACCAGAATGGTGGTTACCTGAAGCTTGTTAATTAGTCTTCTACTAGCTTCTGTTATTAGATTCCATGGAGTCTCTTTATATTTATGGTCCAGCTTGTTGCTTGTTATCAGAATTTGATGTTGCTGCTAGATCCCAAACCATAGTCTGGGATTTCCTGCTGGTTGTAGCCTTGGGATAACTCCTCTTCATCTTCGCCTCCTTGTCCTCCTTCATACTTCCTTCCCTTGTGTCCTTTACAAACATTATGCTAATAAAGGAACAGACTAGTGTAGAAGCAACCATATTTTGGTTTTAACCAGAAGTGAGAGAAAAGTTATAAAGAACTTGAGAGTCATAACTTAAAAATATGTGACCTCTATTTTAATTATAGTAATCATAAAACAATCTAGTATGTTTGGGTACTAATATTGTATGATAAAAAGGCTTGGAGATGGTTATAGAGCGAATTTAGAAAGCCTAAGGGATAACCCATTAAAGAACAAAAAGGTGGTTCTCTTGGTATTTAGACAATAAGTGATCTCAAAAAATTGCATCTTGCAAATGTAAATTTGTATCTCTAAGCATGATAAGAAGTCACTCATGTAATTAAAAGGTAGGGCAGGGTACTTAAAAAAATGAACAAATTGCAACAATTATTTTATAGCTTGTGTCCTATTAAAAGGTTGGAGGACAGTTTGGGAACATAGCCATAGTTTCTCTTCTTCTTCTTGTTGTGCCATATCCGTTATCGGATGTTGGTGATCATGTTGACGATCCTGTTTTTATCAGCAGCCGCATGAAAAAGTGCTGCTGAGTTTTGTCCAAACCAATCCCTTAGATTTTCTTCTGCCTGGACCTCCTTTGCCTTCAATCTTTCCCTGGAGGATTAAGTGGAGTATGCCGTATTTTTCTGGGTGTCGCATCACATGTTCAAAATATTCTAACTTTCGTTTTTTAATTGTTTTGATGATTTTCCTTGGCTTTCCCAGGTGGCTTATCACCTCCTCATAGCCATAGTTTGTCTATATCAATTGACTACTAAAATAAGTTTTATAAATACTGAATTATATCAGAAAAGTACTTAACACCATTTTGTAGCATGTTTTAAAATCTTGCCCCATCCCTGCAAAGCTCCATACATTCCCATCTTCCAAAATCTTGACCAGGGAATGTTACCTCTTGGAAATGGCAAATGCAGGTAGTTCTTAGGTTATGATGGCAATTGGAACTGGGACTGCAGCCACCAAGTAATGGAGTCTTAAAGTGTTTCTCACAGGGCCACACCATTTAGTGATGGTAATCCCAGGCAGTCCTGTTGCTATTGTAACCTCAAGATGTGAGGGCTGTTTAGCAGGAAGAGGTGGGAGTCCCAGATAAACCGCAAAGTTACTGTGAGTGCTGGGAGAGGGCTGGTGCAAACCACATGCACGTTTTGGGACGCTAGAAGGAGGGCTGGTGAGGGGGAGAGAGTTCTGAGATCAGGAAAAAAAAAGCAGGAACAAGTTAACTGGAGCTGATTTGCATCCTTGCTTGCCAGCTTCCTCATTGAGTTTGCTTATGAGAAACTGGAAGGGAAGAAATGGCAATCACATGACTATGGCTCTTTGCGACATACAATAATTACACGCTGGACATACAAATGCCCTGATAGTGATCATATGACCTGCGGGGATGCTACTACAGCTGTAACTTGGAGCGTCAGTTTTACGTCCATTTATTTTCAGTGATACCGTAACTTTGGTTGCTAAGCAAATGGTTGTAAACTGAGGGCTACCCGATAGTTGTTGGTGTGACTCACACTTGTGAATGGAAATACATGTACAGTTACCCTGATGCACAACCTTCATGGTGTGCCATGTTTGCTGATCAGTTTGTTTTAGTGTTGCCTTCTGTATAGAAGTAATGTCTGTACAAAATTCCACATTGCTGACTGACTTGGAATGACTTACTAAATAAGATTTAATTTCATCTAAATAGGTCATGCTTACTTTTTTCGGCTGAGTAAAGGGGATGGAATTAAGCATAATCTACAGGCTCCCTGGTAATAGTGGGAAGCATTCTGAACCTTTTGGAAGACGGAATCTTTGACATTAAACTCAAAGCTTCAATAAAATCAAGAATCTGATCAATCTCCAAAGGTGGCAGCTCCTTATTATATAAATGATCGATGTTTGTGCCTATGGCTTACTAGTAAATTTTATTGTGACTTGACTGATTGTCAACATAAAGGCCTGATTTACCTTTATGTGTGTGTGCAGGAGGCTAATATACAGTATATGTATATGACACCTTCCTCCTTTGTGAGTTTTACTGCCTTCTCTCATGCTTGTCCATACAAAAAGTCTGTGTATGGAGGTGGAGAGCAAGCGAGCACCAGACGGCTCTTCCATGCTAAAAAGGAAGGAGGAGGGATCTTTGTAGCTCACGTGTCCCTTTTCTCCCTTGCTTCCCCCGCTGCAATTCTCCACAGTTCTCCCTCACATCACGTTAGGCTCTTCTAGCTATCTCTGCCTAATCAAGAGGAAGAAATTTTTGTCTTTCTCCTGCCCGTTTCCAACTATTCACTGGTTCTGATTTGCCTCTGCAAAAGATTCCCATCGCCTGCCCTGAACTGCTTTTCTTCCACTCCTCTTTTTCCACCCTTATCTTTCTCAGCAGTAATCCAGAAGGAAGAGCAAAGAGGAGAAGCAAGAAGAGGTAAGGCAAGGACCAGTAAGAACCCCAGACTTTCAATGCAAAGCAAAAGAAAACGAAGAAAGGGCACCACAATCTGCCTCCCTTGCATGCCAGACCAGCTGGTGCCAACTCTGGCTCTGATTATGAAGGCATTATGAGCTGCTCGCTCCAGAACTGGGTGTTGACAGCTTTCTGCTGCTTGCTGCTTTGTCATTCAGGTGAGGGGAAAAAACTCTTTGTTTTAGCCTCCCAACTTTCCCCCCCTCTCCTACCCCCCTCCCGCATCTTTCTTTGTATTGCTTTGGAGTAGTGAGTGCTATATGAGGTAGGAAGCTGGGTACAGGCACTGGACTACCAATCAAGCAGTCGGAGTTACATTGCATACATTTCTCAAAGTGACAGGGAGCACCATATTCCAATACTGCCTTCTTCCCCCCCCTCCAATAATGGGTTTCACTACTCACCTTTTGGAATGGGGCACATGGGGAGGGGGATACAGCAATTTGCTGTTTGTAAATATATCTCTTGTTTAAAATCCATCCCTTCTTTATAGACACATTTTTACATTCCATCAGTGCTAGGACTGCAGTCTTTTCTGCTGCATCAACACATTTTCTGCAGTTCCTTTCTGAGGTGGAGATGTTTAAGCAACAGCTGGGGAGGGTGGGTGTAATCTCCTGTCAGGTTTACCTGGGATTGGGGCAGGGGATGGAGGTTCTTCTGGCATTTGCCATTCAAGCTTATATGGGTGACACCTGTGCTCATAGATTTTTTTGATAAATATGAATGAATTGGATGAAAGAATCTGGGGAAATGAGAAAAAGACTGAAATGCTTGGGAATGCAGTAACCGAAGGTTCAGCCTAAGTATTTTAGATGCTGCTGGGGCCAGTCCAAAAATACATGTGATTATAACAAACAAAAGGAGAGACAGTCCTTGAGTACATGCAGAGTGCATTCCCTTCGTTGTTGTCCAGTGGCCTGGAGGATTGAGGATTGAGAGGTAGTAGGTGTGGATTCCAGGAAAGCTTTAACCTCAGCACCTGTCATTTTTAGAATGTAAAGTAGTGAGCATGCCCAAAAGAAAGTGAATCAGGCTAAGGTTGTGTGAAAGGGCACTGAGACAGCCGTTTTGAATGTGGATTGGCTTTTCTTTACACTAGCTATGTTCAAATGTTCCTGGCCAAGCATTGACTTTTTTTAGTATATACCAAAGTTTGGCTTAGCTTGACTGAGAATGCATTGTTGATTTTGTCCTGTTTTTCTTCTTGGAGGTTTTGTGAAGGCAGATCCACAACCTGGTGATTTGCGGAGGTGGGTTCCAAATTCCAATTGGCGCAAAAGTTGGGGTATTTCAGAAATCACATATCCCACCAGGCTGATGAAACATAATTCTGGGGGAGAGATCCAGAGGTATCAGCTGGACACAAGAGTGAGAAAGGAGACTGGTGGCAGCAAAGGAGGCGACAGAAAAGGAGGAAGCCCTGTAAGTGATCCCAAGAAGCTTCTCCCCCATGCCATTTCATAAGCTGGTTTTCTTTTTCTTCTCTCAGCTTTATACTAAGGTTCCTACCACTAAGGCACAGGTGGCTGTGGGAGGAGAGAGCAGACTCCAAGCTGTTCTGTGAAGCCAGATGGTATACACATGTAATGGTTGGGTGGCAAGAGTTACTTCCAACTTTTTAATTGGATACTAATATTCACTGGTGCAGCTGTTTACCCAGCAGTTTTAGACAATTCAAGCATTTTCCCAGGATAAGAAGTAAAATATCTCAGGCGGCATTCCATCTCCTGTCCCCTGATGATAAAGCCAATTCTTGCCAGCATTCTGAGTTAGATATGTCTATGGGAAGGGACCTTGTTCAGCAAGCAAAAGATGTTTTCACCCCAAAACATCACCTGTATTTATCTTTCCTATGGAATCACTAGCAATAATGGCTAAGCTCATATATCTTGCTGAGCTATGATTTACTGAATCATAACTTATTAAATAAAGTACTATTATTTGAATTTACATGGCAGAGTGTACTATAAACCAATGTTTTTCCTTTCTGCAGACCACTAAACTGTCATAAAAAATACTGAAACTACTACCGTGTTTCCCCGAAGATTAGACCCAGCCCTATAGTAAGCCCTAGCTTGGTTTTTGGGGGTGGGACTAATATAAGCCCTACTCCAAAACTGAGCCCTAATTTTGGGGCGAGGCGCACCCCTAAAAAGCAAGTTAGGGTAGGGGTAGGGGGGGTGAAGCTCTCCCATGCACCCTGCACCTGCTTACCTTACCAGTAGGACCACCACAGCCAAGCCTCCCAAACCCTGACATCTGTTGCACCACTACTTGACTTCTGTGGCAGCTTGCCACCACTTGTGGCTGGACACCATGTGGCGCATTGCGCTGTTGCTGCTTCTCCTGGCAGGATGCCACATAGCGCTTCGGGCTGCTTCTGCTGCTTGCGCAATGCTTTGGGATGCTTCTGTTGCTCGTGTGCTTTGGCCCGGTTCTGTTGCTTGTGGCAGGAGGCCACATGGCATTTTGGGCCGTTTCCTCTGTGTAAACGGCCCAAAGAGCCACACAGTGTCCTGCCGTGAGCAGCAGAAATGGCACAAAGCACCATGCGGCATCCTGCCGGGAGGAGTGGCAATGGTGCAATGCGCCACATGGCATCTGGCCACCAGTGGCGGCAAGCAGCTGCAGAAGAAGTCAAGGAGTGGTGCGACAGGTGGCGGGGCATGGGAGGCCTGGCTGCTGTAGTCCTAAGGTAAGACATTCTCTGAAATTAAGACCTAATGCCTCTTTTGGAGGCAAGAAAAATATAAGACCAGGTCTTAATTTTGGGGAAACACGGTACTTATGCCAAGGACTGGCAATATACTGACTTTGGGCTCTGTGGCATATACGTTCCCCAGATGGGATCCCTAGGAGCCCAAATTAAGTAAAATTAATCAAAGAACGAAGGGCCATATCTGATGATATTTTGGAAGTTCTCACCTAAAACACCGTAAGAAATTTGCCAAAACTACCACACTCTTGATAATCTCTTGAGACTGATGGTGTATAACTATACGAAAGATCATGGACGGGAGGGGGGCAAGTGATATACACTGCAATGTTCTGACACAAATCCTGCTCCTTGTGTATTTTTATGTAGTGCAATGTGTCATGATCTCAGAACTCATATTTTGTCAATTTGACATCATTGCTAGTTGCAGATGCTTGTAGTTTATTAGTGTGATCTCTTGTTCAGGAATTACTAATGGACCATAATTAATAAACATACTAAGACTTTCAATTATTATCTGCTTGGCTCACCTATGGCCCCAAAGTATAGACTGATCCCTGACAATCAATTATGGTTTGAAAAGCATAATTGTTGTATTCACATGCAAATTCTAAATCCAAGCTAACAAAAATTTACTTGCAAGACTTGCATTGCTCTATTAGAAGTTGCTCAACTGATTTGATTGTGCCTGGAAAAGCAGCCGATTGTCTCCCAGTTGGGTGAGGTCAAGCAGGATGAAAGCTGGAAGCATTGCTTTTCCATGGTAGAGACAGCCCTCAGGAAGACTTTTCCCACCCAACTTTTCCCACTTTGCAGAAGATGAAGATGGAACTCTTTTCAGAGGGCATTTAGAACATGAGCCCACTTGACAGTGGTCAGTAGATTTTTCAGTATTTTTTTTCTGTATTAATATTTTATTCCTCTTTGTAAGCTGCCATGTATCAGTTTAGATCAGTGTTTCTCAACCTTGGTTATTTGAAGATGTGTGGACTTCAACTTCCAGAATTTCCCAGCCAGTATGGTTTAGATTGTGGTGAGATATAAATAAATAAACCATAATTGCTATATTCCCATAACAATCTGTATCTCCTCCAAAAAACTGAATCATGGCTGATGGCGATGACTATATTTCTGTAACTTGCTGAAGCACAAACTTGCCAATCTGTTTTAATCTAATCTAATATGCTATGTGAACTTAACTGTTTAGTCATTATTACCTGGGATAGAGGTGGTCGTGCCCTATAGCTAAGGTCATCACCCCAAAAGAAAGTAATATGGTCTGGATAATGGGATCCAGGATTTTTTTCCCACTCTTTGGGGTAGATGATAGATCAGTGATGGCGAACCTTTTAGAGACTGAGTGCCCAAAAACTGGCCCCGCCCCCACTCCACCCCCTGCCCTGCCCCCACCCCACCTGCCCCCAGGGCCACTCACCACCTCCAGGGCCCGCCACAGATCACCCAGGCAGCCCAGCAGCACCATGGCGGCCACGCCCTCTGCCCACACCCTGCAGCATCAACTGTGCACGATGGTGTGTGAGGCCAGATTCTTGTCTACGCTGCCTGGCTGCCATGTTCTTGGCTGCGCTGCTCTGCATGGGCCACGCTCAGAGGTGATTCTCCTCCAGGGGGGCTGCTGGTGAGGAGGGGGTCACGGGAGGAGGCAAGTCTGGGGCAATGGCACGTGTGCCACAGAGAGGTCTCCGAGTGCCGCCTATGACACCCGTGCCGTAGGTTCGCCACTACTGTGATAGTGCTCTAGGATCCAATCTGAAGAATTCAAAGTTATGGAGATCATGGAGAGACAACAGAACAGTATAATATCTAAGGAAGCTAAAACTGCAACTCTCTCACCTTTCAAATGGCAAGTATCAGTAGCTTAGAATGATTTCCACTTTCCTGTTTTCTTTATTATCCAATTTCATCTTTGTCAATGTTTCCTGAAGTAGTACTGTTTGTAATTAAAGATGAGCTTTACATACTGAGCCCAATATAAAAGCAAAATATTACACAATTTGTTTTCAATTTGTGTCCATGATAAAAAGAAATGACGAAAGGCTAAAACTGCTAGAACATAGAAGAACTATTGTAATTGCAAGACGTCTCAGCCATCCATATTCCTTTCCAAAAACTCTTTAAATCTGAGTTTCTAGATAGCTGGATTCCCAGATTTTACAGGCAGGTATTATGAGGTCATCATTTATGTAGGAGCATATTAAGTGAACAAAATCTTGCTCAAAGCTGATCAGCTTTGCATATAGGAGCATTACAAACTTTACAGATGCATTTCTGACTTAGCATTCATGTAGACATTAGATCAATTAATGCTTAATATCAATACAGCCATCTTGATTGCTGGATGTGCTTGAGGCGCACTATCCAGTTAACTGAACCATAGTTTACTGAATTTGCCCAACTCTCTATGATTGCATTATGCATGGAACCAAAAGCTAGCCAAACATTTTTTAATGTGCAAATCCAATCTCTGGACTATAGAAAGAAAAACAGATAGAGCTCATAGAACATTTGCAGCAATGCAATAATACGTTGTGTTGCAGTCTTAAGTCTTTCTAGATTGTTCTCCCATTTTTGATGCTCACCTCTGAAATGAGAACTTTTTAAAAAAATGAAAAATTTCACACTCACATTTACCTTCACTCTCTTGCTCATACCTTTACTATCATTGTTGGATTACAACTCTTATCATACCTAGCTAATTATATTGTGCCTCATATCTGAAAAGCATCAAGTTAGGAAAAATTAGTCTGAGTAGATATGTCATTTACTTCCTGATGTCAGTTCATTTTTCACCCTTTTGTGTTCTGCTGTCTCTCCTTTCTGTTCTTTTCTAAAAGGCTGTGTCCACATAGAACCCTGAGCCCCCATCAGACCACATTTTAGCTTTGCATGCCTACCCAGCCCAAGTGAACTCACATTGGGTTTACTAAGAAAAAAGGAAGGTTGATAAATTGCAATTAATTGTGCCATAAAAACTCAGCCAGTGAGAATTATGACTTTGCTGATTTTGGATTCAGAAAGGTGGGAGTCTAGATAAGATTGTAATATCTGTATTATGTTGCCATGATGCAAATGGTGTGACTTACATTCTTGCGTCATGAACGTTTCATTTGTGTGTGGAGGTGATGATGCACAAGCCGATATTCTGATGCACGGAGCCAGATATGGACATGTATGGCGTTCATAGATAGTTTCTTCAGAAAAGATATGCTTGACCTTTGTAAGGATACTTGCATAGCTATTTATAGTGTAATACAGTGGTAGATTTCTACAATGTCTCAAAACATAAAACATCATTAGTTAAATATTTGTGGGAAACTTGAGCATTCCTATTGGATCTCATCCGCTCATATTTTCATCTTTTTCTTGTTCTACTTACCTCAATATGCCAATTACATAGATAAAATTAAATATCTACCTTAAATCAATTGAGGGAAGGCTTATTTGCAGAGCTGCCTTTGTTTTAAAAGTCCTGCCAAACATAAAAGGCCATGGGATGGATATTTTTGACAGTTTTTCTTCTCTTTAAAAATAAAAAAATAAATAAATTATAAAATTCCAGATAATATCTACTTCAACTACTAAGTTAAGAAGGTTGCTTTACTCTTAATAATTTCAGAGGGGAGACAAATTGTTATACACAGGGAATTGTTTTTTTAACTGAGCATTCACAGTTCAATAAAGAAAT